CGGCTCCGGGGGGGTCCGGGGCGCCGGGAGGGGGGGTGCGGGCCCCCCCGTGCCACGTGCAACGAGCCAGGGACCCCGCCCCGCCCCAGGCAGGGGGTGCCGTACCCCCCTGTGTCTGTGTGTCCCCCCCGAGCTGCAGACCCCCCCCGGGGACCTGTGCAGCCCCCCCGGCAGCTCAGCTCGGCTCCGGGTGCTGCAGCAGTCGGGGCCCTGTGGTTTAGGCATTTCAAATTGCAGCAGCACTCGGGGCTGCAGGCGCAGGGGGGCTCGGGGCAAGGGTCCTGTCCGAATGTCCTGCTTGGCACGCTGGGATGCAGCAGCTCCGATGCCCTAAAGCAAACCCCACTTATCCCAAACCCCCTTCCCTTGAAATTCCAGCCCCAGGGACACCCCGGGGATGCTCAGCACCCTCCCACAGCTGCAGGGTGAGGCCTTGGTCCATCTTGCAGACCCAAAGGCAAACACCAGCATAGGGGTGCGAAGCCCAGGGCAGCCCCGCGGGAGCCGGGGGCTCGTTGGGAGGCTCTGGGGTGCGCTCGCTCTGCCTGGCTGTGCTCCCAGTTTGCTTTGGGATCTGTTGATCTTGGCTATGAGAAAGCGTTGCTCCATCGGACAGCTGGTTAATGTGTAGTGACGGCTCCGCTGTGCCCGGAGACCGTTGATCCCAGCCCACGCTGTTACCTGTGCCGGTGTGAGCGGGGCGAGCCGGGAGCGGCCCTGCGGGGCTGTGACGGGGGGCACGGGGGGAGCCAGGCACCCCTGGGTGGGGGGGTTGCATCTGCATCCCACAGCGGCTCCGAAAGTCTGGCATGATGCTCATGGGCACTCAAAAATAGGAAAGCGGGGATCCTCCCCACTGCACCCTCAATGGGAAAACTGGAGCCGGTTTCCCCTCTGGAAAACAGGGCTGAAGCCCCAGGGCCACGGTGCCAGTCCCGGAGCAGCTGGGGCTGAGTCACTGCCCCCAGCGCCCCACGGCCCCGGCGCTTTCCCACGGCTTGGGACTCATGGGGCTGGATTTTCCCAGCCCGTCTGGCTTTCCCGGCTGCAGAGCTGCCCTGTGGTGCCACCCCAGCCGGTTTTACCACCGTGGGCAGCCATTTCAGGGCTCTGGCTGCCCCCCGGGGCCACATCCTCGCCATGGGGGGCTGCTGGGGAGCACGGCCTGGGAGCATCGCCACCTGCTGCGGTTTGGGCTGGGGCTCACCCCAGCAGCGGTGGCCTCTGGGGACGCCACTTGACAGTGCCCCCAGCCCACATGTGACCTTCCCCCTCCAAAACCACCACGCTGGGCTTTGCCTCATCGTAAAGCAGGACCAGGGCTGGGATTTGGAGGGATGTGAGCATCAAGAGAAGTGGGATGCGCTCAGCACCCGCCCAAAGCTGAGCTATCCCCGGCAGCTCCAGGCAGAGGCTCAGTCACATTTGCCTCCGTCCTTGTGCAACTCGCCCAGGTACACGGCGAGGTAGGAGGGTGACGGGCAGACCTGCACGCATGCATCGCCATGCAGTGAGATGAAGCCATGAAGCCATGCAAAATGCCTCCCAACCCCCCGGCAACAGCCTGCGGAGCAAGGGGCCCCATGAACCACTTTGCAGCTTCGAGCGCGCCTTGTCCCCGTGCTCTCGAATACCAGAGATTCCTGCCCTAAGCCGCCGGCCCGGACCTGCGAGGCAGGATTAGCCAGTGCCCTCCGGCTGCTCCCGCTCTCGGCAGGAACGGCAAAAACTCCAGCAAAAGAGAGAAGAAAAGAAAAGCCTCTCTTGGGATCTTTCTTTTTCTTTTCTTCCCCTTTTTTTCCCCTTGTTTTCCTAATTAAAAATGGTGCACTGACAGCGGTTGGTGGCCACAGAGACTCTGGGCTAATTACAGCTCCTGGCTTCCACCCCGTCCGTTTGTCCCCGGGCCCTCTCCAGTCTGGCGCTGCAGGAGAACCCGGTTTGGTCAGGACACAGCAGAGGAGGCGGCTTCCCCCCGGCTTTCTCGGCAGAGGCTCTTTCTTTCTTCCTTTCTTTCTTTCTGGATTCTTGCTGACAGCAGCATCTGTCATCTAACAATATCTCCCGTGTGGACCAACAGCCGCAGAAGGCACCCGGAGCCCTTTGCCGAGCACAAGCCCCGCAGCCGCTGCGGCCACCGAGCCCCCTCGCTGCCCCCAGCAGCGGGCACACACCAGGAGGGCACCCAGCCACCGGCGCAGCCATCGGGGCAGGAATTAAAGCTCAGAGGAGACAATCCCCTCCACCTCCCTCCCACAGTGGCCGGCGGCTCTGCTCCAGGAATAGGTTTATCCTGGCCCTGACCTTGCTGCCTGCCAGGCCACAGCTCTGCCCGGGGAGAGTCATCCATGGCCACGACCTGCGCTGGGGCATTGAAAGCGGAGGCGAGGCAGGAGGAGAAGGGCTTTTTGCTCCAGTGACATCTCTCAGCACAACCGTGGCACAGCTGGGCTGAGTCCTCCTCTGTCCAGCCTGGCTGCAAATCCCGCAGGGAGGCTCCCGACCCAACCCACGCTGAAGGGGGGACGGGACTTTCTCCCCAGCGCCCTGCTGGCATCGCAGGCGTGAGCTCCGTGCAAGAACGATTAAAACTTTCCCTGGTCCTGAGTCCCAGCACCGACACGTCCCCACCAACACCGTCCCTGTGTCCCACGGGGCTTCGCACCCCACCAAGGCGGCGGGAGGGGACGATGGCAGGAGCAAGGGGATGGCAGCAGTTGCCTGACCTCCCCGCACGGCTCCAGCTCTTTCCTTGTCTCCCTTCCTCTCCTCGGGGCTCTGCAGCACAATGCGGCCCCCCAGAAACCCCAGATGAACCCAGCCTCATCAGCCATTTGGTTTTTATAACGATGTGCTAAGAGCCGTCTGTACTTTCTCCGTGCCCCAGTTCGTGCTGCCGGCTCCTCCAGGTCTCAGCGAATCCCCGCTCCCTCTCTCGCTCGGCGCTAACTTATATTTTAAACAGCGAGGTACCGCTTTCAGCAAAAATAAATTTCTTGGGGGGCGTGGAGAAAAAAAGGAGCAATTGCAGTTTCTAGTGGTGGAAGGCAATTCATGATTTCCTGCCTCTGCGAGCTGTGCTTCCTTCTTAACACGAGGGAGGTTGTGGCACCCACAAAGACACAGCACGCTGCCGTTTGTGGGGCTGAGGCGCGATCACGTCCGTGTCTAACGCCGCACGGAGCCAGGCGGGAGGCAGCGGTGGAGTTGCTGGATGCAAGATCGCCGTGGCGGGTCCCAGGGCCGAGAGCAGGGCTGGGCTGCGGCTCTCACCCTGCAAGCCGGGTGCGGGGAAGGCCACCGCGGCCGCCGGCTCCCCTCTGCCAGAGGAATTCAATTTTTTGCCTTTCTTTTTCCCATATAAAGTCTTTATTAAGAATTTTTAAACTTCCTGCTGGTGTTTGTCACAAACCCAAACAGCCATCCAACATCACCCACTTGGGACATTTATTACCCTGTAAATACTCTTCCCTGTATTGTGTACGTAGCTTTTTAAGACTGATTCCTTACATAGCATCTTCCACGAGCCTCAGCGGCGCTCTGCAGCACCGCGGACCCCGGGCGAGCAGGGAGAGCCCCGAAGGGCTGCGGCACCCCGGGGTGCGCAGCAGCGGCTGCTTGGCCACGGGAAAGGGCCGAGAAGCCCCTTTCTGTTCAAGAGCTTAAGAGGTTTTTTTTTACTTAGGACGACGTGAGCTTGGCCACAAAGAGCTGTACGTGTGCCTGCAGCCCTGGGGTTTTACTGGGAGCCCTGCAACACCCAGGTTTCACCTTGGTGCTGCGGTGCAAGCGCGGGGAGGAGGAGGAGAGCGGCTGTTAGCTCAGGGTGGGGAGAAAAGCAACCCCACGGAGCTGCCTGGACAGGTAAAGCAGCCCTGGAGGACGGGACACCTTCTCTCTGCTCCACACATGCACATTGCTTATTTTTGCTGCAAAGTCCAAGGGGTTTGAAGCTGATCTCACCATTTTTTAGCGCTGGAGGTTGGTGATAGAGTTATATCCTGAGCTCTGTGAGCAGCGCTGCCGTATCTGGGCTCGGGGAGCACAGAGGTGACCGAACCCGGGGAGAAAGGGATCTGCGTCCTCCAGATACAAGGGCCAAGACGCTGCACGGTGCCGAGCGGGCGCTCGGCGGACAGGACAGGGTGACGAGCAGCCCGGGAGACACCCAAACCTGCACGGTGTGTGCAGCGTGCTGCCGGCGTGGGACCTGCTGGCTGCTCAGTGCTAGGAAAAAAGGAATGAATAAAAAAATACTCCATGGGGGAGAACCAACAGAAAAAAAACAGGATAATGTATTGGAGCTCAGGAAACGTTTGCTGAGGCGAGTCCCAGCTGGGACCTGGGCTGCTGCGGCCGGTGCGGGGCTCGGAGCTGCCGCCAGCACGATGCCCCGGAGCGGCAGGGACACGTCCGACGCGGAGGCCAGCTCTGTGGCGGGGCAGGGCCGGGCAGAGCAGGCTCCTGGCAGCCGTGGGACCCAGCGGGCTCTGCGCAGCCTCCAGGGCCTGGCTGCACCCATGGGTGCCGCTGCCGGGGGACAGAGCCGCCACGCGACGGCGTGCCTTGGCCCCGAGCACAGGCGACCGGCCCGGCCCCGGGGTGCATCTGCCAGCCCCCGCCGCCCGGGGGCACCGTGCTGGAGCCCCCCCCCGCAGGGCACAACCCCCGGGGACCCTGAGCCCCGGGGCAACCCCGGACCCCCGCGGGGCTGCCAGACCGCTCCACCCCGGGCGTGCTGGGAGCCC